TTTTTGGCCAGTTCGCAGTCCGGGAAGAGTTGAGCAAAGTTGGCTTTGCGCGGCTGCTTGGTTGAGGGTCAACGTTCAACATTTTGCATCCCTTGTCAATAGTAGCTAGAAGTAGCAAAGCAAGCTACTTGGCCCTTGCTGTGTAATAGGCCAAAGTTGTTCAAGCACGCAGTTTAAGTTTGTAACCACCAAACCCAGACAAAAACTGAGAGGTCAATCTGTCATCTGTCTGTCCAGGCTTTGTGAAGGGGTTTCTGGCTGTGTGATCGGAGACATCAACGTGGAGAAGATTTGGGAGTGGGCCTTTGGAGAAACAGCTGCCAGCATACGATACCCTCCTTTTCAAGACTTCGCTCCCAAGCTGAAAGACGCAAGCTTTGGGGTCGTTTTCTTTCTTTTCGTTTCCCTCGGGGCTCAGGGCTGTTGCAGGAAACCTTTTCCCTGACAGTATGTTTCCGTTTTGAAGGTTGAATAGCCCTCTTGCGTGGTCGCTGCAGGTCCTTGAGACCGTCGAGGCCGTGCAGGACCAATGGCTGAATCGCAGTATGGATCCGGAAAGCGACCGCGTTGCCCCGGTTCGCATAGGTGACCAGCTCCGCTTCACTTCAATGGCTGTGACGTTCGGGCAGCACGCCCTTGAGAGGCGGCAGGCCGAGCTCAAAGGCGTGTTCGGTTGGGTGACCACGCAGGTGGCTGGGTCGAACCTGTTCCTCCCACGGCGTTGTTACCGTCATGCTTCTGATGCCGGTGCTCCAGAAATAGAAAAGGTTGCAGAAATGAGCGAGGATGCGATTGACAAGCGGATTCAGGGTGAGGACGCAGACATTACAAACCAGTTGGGCTTTGAGCCAGAGGAGGATGGCGATGAATGCGAACCGGGTCCGGCTCCGAAAAAAAATGCAACCCCTAAAAAAGCAGTTTGAATGCCATTGCTCCGAAGAAGGTCGCGAAGAAGAGGGGGCCTGCAGGTGGCACCAAGTACACAAGCAGAGCTGAAGAGCAGATTGAGTATTTGCGCGGTGCCAATGCGCCTGACTACCTGATCCCACGGACAGCATTCATCCGCTTGGCCAAGGAAACCCTTGATGAGCTCGCAGCTGCCAACCTTGCCTTTGCGGACGGTGGTGGAGTTCGGATGGGCAGTGATGCCTTGGCTTGTGTTCAGTGGGCATGTGAAGGGATGTTGAGCGAGCTGTTTGCTGATGTTGCCGCAGCCGCCGCGCATGGGAAAAGGATAGGCATCATGCCCAAGGACCTGAAGCTTGCGCTTGGACTTCGGCGGCTGGAGCACTTGCAGCCGAAGCCCCGTGATGAGCCAGGTGCAAAGCGCCCGCGACGGGCAGAAGGCTCTGGATGAGTTGCTGCCAGACTTGTGAATGAGAAAGGATCGCTTTTTCGGATGGGCCGCTTTATCTGGGCACAGGCTCCCCTAACCCAACAAGGAAAAACTTTCCCGGCCCGGGAAAGTTATTTTTCTCGAAACTCTTCCGTCGTGGTCTTAGAGATGTAGGGAGGGGCCCATGGTTTTAAACTTCCTGTAGTTCACGTTGTTTCATGTCAGCCGCTCTATTTGGGCACACGGCCCCCCTACCATAAAACACGGAAAAAACTTTGCCGGCCCGGGAAAGTTTTTTTCTCGAAACTCTTCCGTCGTGGTCTTCGCGATGTAGGGGCCTATGGTTTTGAACTTCCTGTAGTTCACGTTGTTTCATGTGTTTCATGTCAGCCGCTTTATTTGGGCACAGGCCCAACCTTGTCCAGATACCCAATAGGTGTAGCTTTTAGAAAGGAGCGCTTTTGTGCTTGTTCTGTCGGTGTGAAGCGTTTTCAGGGAGAACTTCCATACGGTTCTGTGAGGGGTTGAGATTTGGAAAGCCCCCTTCCACGACCGACGCGCCCGAATTGGACTGGTGCTCGATCTCCTGCTTCCGCCAGGCAGCATCCTTGTCCACAGCTGCAGCGCCCGCAGACCGGGGGGTGGGGAACGACCCCAAATAATTTCATAATTTCATCCGACGTCACTAAATCAAGGTTTGAAATTATTGAAATTAAGCGACGACCCAAGAAGTATTTTAAATCACCCAGGTTTGGGGCTATTGCCGGGGCGGGGCTCGTGGCCGCTGGCAAAGGACAGCAGCCCAAATAGTAGCGCAGAGAAATGCACCTTGCATTTGGGAGGTCTTGCTTGGGGAAGCTGACATTGCCGCTTTCCGACGGGGACTGGACCAGCTTCTGTTGTCGTGGTTGCTGTTGGTTTGCATTTATATACCCAAAAAAAACGGTTCCATGCGTACAGTGCGAAGTACCTCCAAGAAAGCCTCATAACCTTTCCTAACCAACGCGTCTCCGTCACCTGGGTGTTCCTCCTGGATTCCGCTTCCTCCTTCTCAGGCAGCGTAGTGGCACCAGCAGCAATAGTAGCTGCAATAGTAGCCGTAGCAGTAGCACCAGTAGTAGTGGTCGTCGTCGTGGTAGTAGTAGTAGTAGTAGTAGTAAAAGAAGAACAGGAAGAAGTGGGAGATGAGTAGTAGCGGTTGCAGTGGTTTGCCGCAGAAGTAGGAGGGCGAGTGGTACTGTAGTAGTTGTCGTCGTCGTTGTTGCCCTAGGCGGTTGCAGTTGCGGTGGTAGTTGTTTTTTGCAGTAGTTCTTGTAGTTTGGTTCGTGTTGGTGTTCATGAGCGCACTGTCTTGTCCATTGCACGGATGAAACATTGTTGAATTCTGCCCTTTTGACGCCACATAGCTCTCAACGTTTTGCAGCAACCACCAGCATTGTCGGGTTCGTCGGCCACCTGCAATCGGTTGTGGCAGGGGGAGGTCATGGTGGAGCTTTGGGTGCAAGTCTTGACATCTGCCATTTCCTTCATGTGCTTGGGCTTGGCATCTTGGCACAATGAGATGGTTTATCATGGTTTCTCAAGATTTCACCGTTCCCAGTCCCTTTCCCTGAACTTACATGTTTACAGACTTGCAGATGCCGAAGTGGAAGGTTTGGTTTATCATGTGTGTTTCTGCATGTGTGTTGTGTTGTGCGGGCAGGGATGCAACTACCTGGTCTTTGTGGCCTTTCAGCCTGCCAGGTGATCTCGTCCCAGATGAAATGGTGGCTAACGTCACCATTTTTGTCACGAGTGAGGTGGCATGTCTTGCTGGACTGTGTGAACGTTTGGCTTTTCCACTTTCTGGCCACACACCCTTCTTGCGGCCTTTGCTATGGAGTGGATGGTAAGAGGGGTCTAAGCATTTTTGCAATTTGCTGCCACATCTTTTTTTGGTTCAACAAGCTCATGGGCTTCACAATCATCAAGACACTTAGATTGACTATTGCAAGCAAGACTTTCTTTTTCCATCTAGTGATTCACTGGCGAGTGGGCCTGAGACTCCCCTTGTTCACTTGTTCGGCCATCAGATCCAGGACGCACCTTACAATGTTGGAGACTTTTCTGCACTTAAAGTTTGGCCTTTCGTACGTAAAGGTAGGGTTCGGGAGTTTTGGCATCTGTGACTTGCAGCCTTGCAAGTTTTCGTTTGCTGTGGGCCCAATTGATGTAACTGACTGAGGAGAGGGCCTTTGAGCGCTCCTTAGGAGTGCAATTCCTCGAGTTTCTATTTTTGCTCTTTGGTCTCTCCATCTTGGTGGCCAGCGTCGCATTTGTTGGCGCTCATGTGGCGCCACATTTGCACGTTCTCATTCTCGTTGTCATGGTGATCGAATCTGTGGCTTGCTCCAAGTGTCTTTATCCCATGTCCATTGAAACGACTGTCTCTTGTTCCCAGTGCATACCAATTTCAAGATGAAAAATAGCTTATCTATGCTGTCCCCAAGGTAGTCGTTCTCTCTTGCCTTTCTGTGGCCACTTTGATGACCTATGTATTTTGGTCAGCTCACAGTTATGCTAAGCTCGAAGCTGCTGAATCCAAACGGCCCGCAGACGCTGAGCTGGCCTTGAAGGCCGTCCATTTCTCGAAGAGAATGAGGTGGGCTGGAGGCAAAGTTAACATAAACTTATATGACTGACCTTTTTGGGAGGACAGAGGAAGTTGCTTGCTTGTGGCTTAGTCCTTTGTGCTTTGAAGCAAGACACCCCCAAATCCAGCTCCATTCGCTAGTAGCTGACAACGGCATCTTAAGGTGGGAAGCACCATTGAATTTGACATTGGTTGCAATCGCATTTGCTCTTCATGTTCTATGGCTGTGCCAGCTCCACTGGGCAGACCAAGAGCACATCCACACACTACCCGAGATGGGTTTCCTCTTCGCAGCTTGTTTGGCCCTCGCCAACTGCGCCCGCTTTGCAAACCTCCTTTCGTTGGTGGAATTCAGCCCGCAAAAGCCAAAGCACTGGCGGTCGATGTCTATGACCTTTTTCCGGACCTTGAGCAACGGGAGCCTCATTTCTCCAAAGGGCGCGTTTATACTTTTGCACATTGCTCACCCTCAATGTGGGTACGTGATACACTTGCTTTCCATACATGCGAGAGACCTCTAAACGGGAAAGGCCACGGGGAGGGAAGGTAGTGAAAGATGACCACCTTTGGAGACCAGAAAAGAATTGGAGCACCACTGGGAACACATGCTAAATGCTTCATCTCCAAAGAATCTGGGAATTGTTTGAAAGTGCAAAGCATTCTTCAAGGAAGCGGCTCTCGCCAGATTGCCATTGGCTTCCTACTCACCTCTTACCTTACTACACCTTACTACTAGCATCTACTAGCTACCACTTCCTACCCCCCTGTCTTCTAGTGCCCCAACCACACAAAAACAGAAAGAAGACTTCCAGAAAGCTTTTGAGTTCTGATGAGGAGCTCTGACTCCGAAGACACCAAGTGGAAGACAGGGCATTCCTCCTGGGACGCCAAGACCGAGGAGCTGGCACGAAGGGGCGTGACTCTGCGAGCGCTTCTGGACTTTTACAGCAGCCTGCCTGGAAGGACTGGAAGGATGATACAGGGAAGAGGATTTCATTTCATGTGTTCTGTTCTTTAGCCCGGCAGGGTGGGGGGTTTAGGAGGCCAGGCCGAGAGGTAGCTAGTAGAGACTAGGTAGCTACTACATATGGACGCTGGATAGTTCACGCTTCTTCAAGGAAGCTCCCCCGAGCTGTCTAGGCTCAACGTCTTTCAGCTTACGCCCCACGCGAGGGCCGGGGTCCTGTGGTCACGGCTGAGTGACGGTGGGACGTCCATAGACCAGACACTCACCAGTGGCCGGATCGCCATGGAGATGAAGGTCAATGAGAGTAGAGACAGCGGCTGTTGGAAGTTTGATCCATTGGGCTACTATGGGCATGCCTTCCCCGCTTGCTGATTCTGTTAGCTTGGCGTTGAACGGTATTGCCACGACAGGTGAATGTCGAAAAGATGATGAAGAGTGGGTTCTGTTTGGGGAGGTCATGGACGTGCACGAGGGACCGCCCTTCCGTGCTCACCTGAGACGCACCTCTTTGCTCACGCAGGAGCCTGGAATGCCTGGAAGCTTATGGGCAGACATTGACTTGGTTCGTCCTGTGGCTCACACTCGAGTTGACTTTACACCTGGAATGTGGGTTGGCTGTCTTTCCAAGCCGGCTAATCGACCAGTTGGTGGTGTGGTGCACGCAGATGCCCCAATCGCTGTGTGGAATGTCTCTCTGTTTGAGCGACACTTAGCATGGAATGCTTGCACTTATTTGCCGGTGCTTATGAGGGATGGTTGAGAGCAATGTGGTGGTTGCAGCAGGCGAATCTAGGACACTCTTTCGCCACTCACACCTCAGTTGATTGGTGCTCAGATGTTATGAGAACGTGGAGCTACAATCACCGCAAAGAATTCCTTTCTTGCCCAATTCTGGAGTCGTACCATTCTCTGGAAGTCTACAATGGTATTCTGGCGGATATCAGTGAACGGACTTTGTTGCGAGCCACTTCGAACAAATCCAATTTGCTCATGACTCTTTCTCCTCCTTGTCCGGGGTGGAGTCGAGGTGGTAAGCACTCTGGTTTGGCAACTGACGAAGGATTTTGCTTCTTGGATTCAATTGAGCATCTCTGTCGAGTTCGACCAGTTCTTGCACTCTTCGAATGTTCTGATGGCTTGGAAGCACACCCACATTGGAGAGTCATTTCAGCCGCTATGCAACTCGTTGGCTATAGACGGATTTGGTCGCAAGATGTTGCCATGCACCAGATCACAAGCAATCAAAGTACAGTACACGGTGGTTGGCTGTTTGGTGTCGACAGGATGTGGAAGGCCACAAATCGAATGAACGCTGTTTGCTTGGAATGATCAGAAGCATCTTTTTGCCTTGCCCACCACGTTGGCTGCAGACTTGACACTCCGGCATGAGCACTTGAGTGTGTATGGGGACAGGAATCCACTTCCTCCAGCCAAGAAAGCTCGAGTTGTTGAGGGAGCCTCCAATCAACAGGTTCTAATGCAGAGGCTTGTCCAAGCACTCTTTGCGCTTCATACACTGCGCAGCATCTTCTCCAGAAAGAACATGTTGAGGCAAAGGGCATCTTTGCGACCTTAGTGCAGCAGCAAGATGAGTTTCGATTTATTGATCCTTTTGTGTTTGTGTCGCTGTTTGGCACATCTGCAACACTCGCATTGCCGATGGATCTTCGAAAAGCATTTCACTAATTGGGCAATGCAATCACACAGCTGCATGCGTTGGTCGCTCTGCTTGTCGCATTGGAAGGAGTCTCTGGAGAACCAATTCCTAAGCTGGCTTTGATTCAACAATGTTGGGAGGACCGCCTTACAGCCGACAAGGCTATGATTCGAGTTTGTAGTTTGCGATGACATGTGCGTCTTTCAACCTATTGCCGACTTTGTTGCCAAAGCAATGCCATCCATTGCTTCCTGGCAACCTTGGCTAGCGGGTCATACATTGATCAGATTTTGTGATGATGCCACGCTCATCCCGCTCAATATCCCGATTGAGAACTCTGTCGTTTTGAGGCTTCTTTGCGGGCTTGACCTTGCTGAACATCATACCGCACCGGTTCGACTGTGCTTTGAAGGACGTGAACTCCCTCAGGATGTCTCCTGGGCGGAGCTGCCAGTTGGACGGTCCTTCTGAAATTTGGCACCTACAATTTGTGTTCACTACAGGTGATCCAAACCACCGTCGATGTGAATGAAGGTGACCCCATTGTTTCTCCTACCCAGCCATGGTGTGGGGATGATGGAGGTCCAGAGTTTGACCATTTGGTGGATGCTCATCGTGCTGGGTTCCTTCATGTAGCTGAGTATGTATGCCAAGATGACGAGTCACGCCAAGTTGACAAGGTCCTTCTGCTTCAACAACATGGAACCTCTGAATGGATTCAAAGTGCGAATCTGGAACGCCTTGGCAGCATTCCCACTTTTCAGACACAGGGCTCCTCCCTGCATTTCTTCAAGGTCAATCGAGATGCATGTCGGCAACTCCTGGGAGTACATGTTGTGATTGCAATTTAGGGAACCTATGAACCTGTGAGCCCCAACAAGTGGGTCCTCTTGGCCGGCGGACGAGATCTGAAATGGTGCAAAGTATGCCAAGTTCCACGGGCTGCTACGCCCCGACAATGTTCCGAAGTGCTTGAACAGCAATGTCGTATTGTCAAGCAAAACCTGGTTGAATGCAGGTCTGGCCGACCGCTGATGCTCATCAATGGGGATGTATTATGGTGTGATTCACGGATTCGAAGTGCGTCTCCCATTGTCTTTGGTGGCATGGACCACCTCACTGACATTCCCAGTTGTAATGTGCAGAATGACATTGTCACGGCCCGGCTGTTGCAGTTCAATCTCGAACCCGGTTCATTGGCGCTTGATGAGATGATCTTCCATTTCTACACTTTGCAGGTTTTGATGCCTTCCATTTGCTGGTGTCCTCCAGCAGTGTGGGTCATCAATGAGTCGCAATTTCGCTTCCCTAATCAGCCTGCTGATCTACAGATGTGCTTCCAACACTTTGTGGTGCCGATCCTAGTTGTCTTTGACTGGATTTTTGTTGAAGTCCGCTTATTTGAAGGTGAGTGGAGAGTGCTTTACCATTCACCTGAACAACTGACCTTGAGGCAGAGAACTGCTGTTCTTGAACTTATGTCATGGGTGTGTAAGTGCTTCCCAATGGCTTTCGTTGGATCCGTACCACTGAAGACTCAGGACTTGCTGCCTGGCATACTATCAGGACTTTTTATGCTAGAGCTGGTGCGCCATTGCTTCCAGCCACGCATCGCACCACTCAGCGGCTGCAAAGGGTTCAGTATAGCGAGCGTGTGATGCAAGTCATAGACCAGGCTGATATGGTTTGGAGGGAGACACAACAGATGATCGCATGCTACAATTTGCTCGAGCCAGTCGCAATGCTTTCTTGGTTGCCATTATGGAGTCACCGAGTAGAGCGGCCGACCTGGCACTTCGTTCATCTGGCCGTCCTCCTCATGAGTACAATATCAATGAGATAATGAGATCATCTTTGTTGCGGATGAGTGGCTAGAAATGAGAGTGAACATCTACAGAACCCATCCCGGCTGGGCATCAAGTGATGAAATTGATTTTGCTCTTTCCTTCTTTTCGCCTGAGTCCTTTTGTCCGCCAGTTCTGCACCATGACCTCTCATTGTTGCCGCTGGGGTAAAGATCACGAGTGATGAAGTGCAAAGATTTGTCGCTTTGAGAGAAGGACATTGGGTTGGCATTGAAGTGATCTGTAATGCCAGAGAACACGCCTGTCGCGTTGTGTTTCTGCAAGTACCTGCTAGGGATCAACAATTCTGGCATGATTTTGCTGAAGACTACATCATTCCTCTTGGGTTCCGACCAGCCATTATCGTTGACACTTCCCGTACAAGGCCTGGAATGTGTGGGTGGGGATTGCTACACAGGTGGATCGTCTTTGACCTTCATCTGCCTGAGGCTTTTCATGTTCCACAGCAAAAACGGCCGTTTATTGATTTGATCATTGGTGAGTCTGACCGAGCTTGGAGAGAGGCAGGAGCACCACCGATGCTTCGTGCTTTTGCAGAAAACATTCGGCGCATCTTCCTGCTGGCTGGGGGATTTCGTGTACTTCAACCTTGTTCTGCTGTGTCTTTGGGAGGCATGGAAGGCCAGCCTCAAACTGACTCAACCATGCAAACCGCGGACCCTTGGCAATTTGATGACCCATGCAAACACAAGAAGAAGCAGGTGAAGCAGAGCAAATGGGAAGATTTGCAGCTGCAAACTGATCATCCATTTGTTGCCAAGGACACGACTCCGCTTCCTTTTGTTCAGAAGCAACAGCTTTCGACCAATCGAGGGGGCATTGCTTTTGTTTCAAAAGGCAATCTACAGCAGACTACAGATGTCGCTCCGAAAGAACCTTGTGCTCTTTTGTTGCCGCTCATTGACCCAACTGACCCGTTGGCGAAGTTGCCAAACCTCTCTGGTCCTTTTGAGGCGATCGTTTTTGATCCAGCTTTGAACCAAGAATACAAGCGGCAAGTCCACCTGCTTGTCATTACACCTGAAGTCCACTTCACATTGCCAACTCCTTCGATCACTTTGACCCTTGCGGCCGTGTGTGAGATTATCCTTGAATGTGATGCCCGACTTACCAACAAGGATATTTTCCAGGCCTTCTATGACAATCCGCTGGCAAAATTCAAGGCTCAGTTGAAAGAAGTTTGCTCCGACCCAATTTGGTGCCATGCTGCTATTTATGGCTACACTCCAAGGATAAGCACGATGTCGTCCATCAATTCCTTCTTAAAGTTCAACAGAAGCACCGCATTCCTCTGTTGTCAGCGAGTGGCACTGGTGACCTGGTGGTGCGGGATTTCGTTCCGAAGGGCGAGCAGGGCCATGACCTGTCCATCATCCCTCATCCCTCGTTTCTGGCCTATCGATCGTGCAAACAAGGCAGACCTCATCAAAGCAGCATCCACAATTACGGGCTACCGTGGAATTGCTGTGACAAA